GGGGTGTTCTGTGAGTCTGGGGGCAAAAAGTTAAACCTGTGAAAATAATCTTGTCTGAATACTGCACAAATAATGTATGAACTATTCAAAGTTGTTTTGTGAAGAGAGAAAAATAGCCGAGAGCTGCTCAGGGATTGTTTAGGGCATTTCTCAAGCTCTCAGTGATGTGAACTGTACAAACTCTGCATGAGTTATAGAAAAGTCATATTTCTTTGGCTGCTTTTGATAAGATATGATGTCTTTGTAAATAGACATTAGTACAAATGAAAAGACAGGAAAACAAGGCAGTGGCTGCTTTTTCAAGCTCTTTTCCTTCACGTTTTTTTGGAGTATGGTCACAAATAGGCCTGTCACGATAACAACTTTTTGTTGTGCGATATATTGCCCCAGAAATAATTGCGATAAGCGATATTATTGCCATTTTAAAGACCGTTTTATGCCACTGAATATATAATCATACTGTAACAGCATAATAATGCAAGAAGGCCTACTACACACTTCCAAATGACAGCAAACTTTACATTTTTAAGAATATTTAGATCATGGAAATTAAGTATCAAATATTAGATACCTTAAAAAACTTTAATAAATAGTAAATAAACATTTCTAACAAAAAGTGCAAAGTAACAAGTAGAAAAAAAAGAAAAATGCACAAAGAACTTTTATGGAGATTTTTCCATCTACAGATTTTTCCCTGACCTTCTTTTCTCTGTAAATTAAGGGTGCACTGTATTGCTGAAAAACACAATCACTACTCAGCAGTCAGATGTCCAGATGCACAAAGACACAGATCCCTGAACAAGGCCATATCTGCAGATGAAACTTTTGTAGAAGCATTTTTAAAATTTGAATTAGGACTTCATGACTACACACGTTATGTACGAGAAGCTGCAAAAGGCTCAGGTGCAAGTGGAATGTAAAAAACACGGTGACATATATATTGCGTCACCAAAAATGATTGAGGTCATGCACATATATTGCGCGATAAGTCGATATATTGATTATTGCGACAGGCCTAGTCACAAATGAAGAAAAGAGAACTGGATGTCTTCAACCATTCAGATGGACTTCCCTCACAGAGTGATTAACAAGTGCTTAACCTCAGTTAATCTCTCTATATATTTTTTTTAAGACAAAGCTATTTTGTATTCCCTGCAAAAAACAAAAAAGTCCTAAAGACTCCATGAAGTCAGTGTTAGCCCTGATTTGTCTTTGGTTCCCACAGACTAGTTATTTTTACCATTATTATCATGTCTGTGTGTCCTTTGGTTGTTCAGTTGAAACCAGTGTAATATGTACAGTAGATTATTACATTTAATATATAATATGTTATTCATTGTATTTGCATAAATGTGCTGTGACATCGTAAATTTGACACTGTGATTTTGAGATGAAGCAAAAGAGCAGCAGCCTGTTATTGTACAATTGCTTTTGAAGCTGAATATGATGCTTGACTCGAAGTATCCACTTCAGCCACCATACTATCCACTTACTGCTGCCTATATATGGAAGATATATAATTCTGCTATATTGTTTTTCTATCCTGTGATGTTAGCATGGATAGTCCACTCTCCATTGGCACATGATGAGGGAACATGTTGCACGCATTCACGCGTTTTATCTACAAGACCCCTCGCCATCTTGTCGGACACGTATACTCAATCATCTGTGAGAGTGAATGGCCGTGGACCGTCTGGAACAGAACCCACGCACCCTTTCAAGACCCTCTCATTCTCTTCTCTCATATATCAAAAGAGAAGCACCTGAGGCACTGAAGCAATAATGTAGTATAAATGAAATTTCCTGCAAGGCTTATTGATGTCATTAAACACAAGCATATTGCACTTCACAACGATTTTAGTCTTCATCAGAGAGCTTGACATTTAGTGAATTAGGTACTGTTGAGCTGCCTGTGTCTTCCTACCGTCATCGGCGTCGCCGCCTCCGCCACGGTCTGTAGAGATATCCGTCATCTCATTTAGACCCACTGACCGCTGACGAGCGCTAATATCCCTTTGCATTTGCTCATTTGAGCCTAATGTACTTTTGGTGTTTGTAATCAAATAAGCAATAGCTTAGGCTATGCCTTATGGCTTTAAATGAGTATGTAACCATTACGGTTGCATTATTACTCTATCTAAAGGTTTTGTTTTGAGTTTTTTCCTCCCCTCTGTGTCATGATTGTGGGTATGAATTCATATGCACATTTGTTCTATCGATTCTCAGCATATGAAGTCACAGATCATTTTTTGATTGGATTTTTATTATCCTATTAATATAATAAATTTGATCTTGTCTAAACCAGTGGTTCTCAAATGGTTTACTTCAGGAATTTAGGAGGTTTTACATTTGAACGTCAGTTGTGGACCCTACAGTACATAGTACTGGAATTGTTCATTGTGTAAAATGCAGAAATAGAGAGATTCACTTTATTAATTTATTAACTATAATTTAGTATTTATTATTAGTTGAGATGTGTTCAGATGTTGTTGCTTTTACAGACTTGACTTGTCTTTATACTTTATAATTTATAGTGTTTTTTTTTGAAAATGTCTTTATATTCGGTTTCATTTTCTTCAGACATTCTTCCTCATTTACTGCACAAAACAATGTCTACCAATTTGTTACCATTTAAATTGTATTTTATACATACAATCATATATATATATATATATATATATATAGCTACCAATTTGTTACCATTTAAGTTATACATACACACAATTTTCTTCAGACATTCTTCCTCATTTACTGCACAAAACAATGTCTACCAATTTGTTACCATTTAAATTGTATTTTATACATACAATCATATATATATATATATATATATAGCTACCAATTTGTTACCATTTAAGTTATACATACAATCATATATATATACACACACACACACACACACACACACACACACACACACAAATGCTGAAATGAAATAAACTCTAATATGCACTTACATACACTTCAGACAAAATAAAGTTGGCCATGCAAGAAAGTTAATACTAATGGCCAAGGAAACATGCCAATGTCATAATCTTAAAATAGGCAAAAATTGCCCAACAGCCTGACCAAAATGTCTATCATTATAAGTGATCTCATAGTTAATCTATTCGGAGTCATATTATCTTTTTCCTTGCCTAGTTTCGTTGATGGTTTTCAAGGACATTTGCGTCATGCAACCTTGTCTATCTATGTAGGCATCTGCCTAATTTGACTAGTTTTTATATGGTTAGTTACACATTATCATTTGTATTTGATTCCCTTCCGCCTACAATCAGAACAGACCGGTCAACGAGTTTTGTGTCTTGACCCTCCAGTTGAGGACCACTGCTCTAGACCGTGTGCATCACACTGACTTCACCCATCAGCTCTGTTTGACTGTAGATCAAGACCTCACACATTTTGTGACACCAGCACAGCTGACAGTCTCAGCAGTCAGACACTGATCCGGCTCCACCACCTTCACGCTCCATTCCAGTGGGGCATCTGTTAGTGCCTCCACCCGGGTGGGCCGTAAAGTTCTCTCAGACTTGGCATAACAGGATGAGCGTGCCCTGAAAGATAAGCCCTGTTACATTGGAGCTGTTCTGCTGACTGTTGCCAAATCACAACCACCATAAAACATCTCATCTTAATTAGCGCATTTGCTATTCACCTCTTAAAACACTGTAGTTTCAGCTGTTGCAGATCGTGAGCTAAAGCAAAACAAGAAAGAAATGCTCAAAGTTGTTGATGTCACTGAACCATGAAACTTTTGGCCCGGGGTTGAAATTGCACTGTGTACACATTCTTTAGCAATTTAGCTGCAGGGATAAACATACCTTACATCAACACACTGTTTGTACTCTAGATTTGCCCCGTTTTAGGCTGACAGCGCCCGTACACTCGGCTCTCTGAGCAGAACAAGTGAAATCCAGACAGTTCCAATTATCTCATTCACTGCGGCTGTCGAGTGTACAACTGCATGGACTTTGCATATATACAAAGAAGTGTGATTAATTCTGATCGTCATAAATAATAATAAAAAAAAATCATTGTTTTCAAACATTCAGTTTGAGTTGCATTACAATATGCTTTGTACGATTATACCAAATAAATCAAACTACACAATGGACCTTTTTCACAGATTTTGATTATGCATTTCCAGAATTATTTAATATAATAAATTTAGCAGTTTTTTCTCAATTAAAAAAAAATGTTTATCACATAATTTTCTTTTAATATATTACCTTTGCATTAAATGACTGAAAACAAGTTTATGTTGCTGCTTGAGTGTTTCTAATACAGCTGCTGAGGGAGTGATGGCAAATTTGACATTTTTCTCTCTTCTAACCACTTTACGCTTTTGAAAAGTCATAGAAATGCTATTGTAATTTTTTTTTCTTTTGTTATTGGAAAAAATGGGAACTCAAACATTTTTACTGGTTGTACACTAAAAATATTTAAAGTTTATTGATTAAAGAAGATTAATTGCAGGATTTTTGAGAAGAAAATACTATCAGTTTATCTTCTATAAAGTTTTGCAAATAATTCAGCCTGTTCTTGTTTCTTTGCAATTATTTGTGAAATGTATTCGCAATTTCTGGTTACACTTTATTTTAAGGTGTCATTGTTACAGTGTAATTATACATTTAAGTACTGAGTAATATTAATTAACTACATGCACATACTATATGGTTAGGGTTTGGCTTAGGGCTACTTGCATGTAATTATTAATAATTTACTGTTATTATAATAGTAAGTACGTGTAACAAAGACACCTTAAAATTAAGTGTTACCCAATTTCCGAGTAGTTTCTGTTCACTACTAAGATTACCCGATTTCTTCTAAGAACCCCAGAAATATGAATAGGGTCCATCTAATATTCTTTAATAACTCCCTTCTGTGCTTTTTTTTTCTAAATGGTCCATCTGGAGTTACAGTATATTTTAGTTTCAAAACAATTGGAAGATATGTTTGTAAGTTTGTTTGAAAGATGTATAAGGATTTCTCTCTTGTCTCCTGTAGATCATTACAAAGTATGTTTATGAACGCTTGGAGAACGACTGCAACCTGAAGAAGGAGATCCTCCCTGTAAGTAATGTCTTTTTCCCTCCTTAATACTTTAGATGCCCACAATTTGAATCTAAACAGAATTATTGCGAACATTGATGCAGTTGCGCTTGGCATTCTATAAGATTACAATGGTCTTTATTGTGTGAAAACTAAGTTTTAGAAAGATATTCTTCAACACTTCTCAACTCTAAAGGAGAAAATTGCATTTGTTCTGATGGCAAAATTGCGTACGCTCAAGGAGATTCCTGAGGTGTGGTCACTGCATTCATATGAGCAATAATGTTATGATTTCTAGTACACTTTTTAAGAGGCGTATCATTAAACTACACATCATTTTTGATAGCGGGTGTTTGCACTTGGTAGACATAGAATTTATGTCCTTTTAAAAGCACTGTAAATTTCTCTCCATAAATCACCTGAACAATGCAGGCACAGGCTTTTATGAGCTGTTTTATTTGTGGAGAGTATTTACCAAATGATGTTCTTGGAGTCTGTATTGTCTTTCAGAGAGTTTCATGGGCAAAGCTACCTGTGACCAACTGCATTTAATGCTTAATCCATTTATCAAAGTCTATTTGAAAGAAGAGTAGAGACAAAATGCATTGTGTTATTTCTAAGCGTATGATTTTATGCTCATCTTAGAGTTTGCCACATAACTTATCAGCACACAGGAAGCATACACCATGTAAATGTCAAGATGGATTTGTTGCAATGTAATGAAGTCATCAGATGCAGACAGACAGCAGTTGATGTTTTCGGCATTGAGCGCCGTTCATTAGAAATGATTCCAGGCTCTGACTCACTCCGCTGTTTCTGAGAGTGTCCTGCCCCACTTTAATAAGAGTAAATATAGTTGTTGACACACATCAGGGGATTGAGGAGTCGCACAAACAACACAAAAACATCTTTTATAATCGGATCGGGGTTCACAGAGTTTGCCGAGTTCGACTAAATGATGATGGATGTTAGGTTTCTAGTTTTACTTAGTTATAAACTGCTTCATTTACTGTAGCATTTTGGAATGTAGTGTGAACTCTTGTTTGAAGTGCCCTAAGTATGTTCAATATAAAAATGAAATTATCAAACTGAAGATTTCATTGGCTGTAATCTTGTGCCCTGTCGTAACTGGCGAATGGCATCTCAGTTTGGAGCTAATTGTAATATTTATATTCCTTCAGGTTGATGCAACTGAGGATGAACCAAAAAGCTTTATTTACATGAGCGAGGATGCCCTCACTAACCCAGAGAAGATCATGGTTCTCATCCAGGGCAGTGGAGTGGTAAGGGCAGGCCAGTGGGCTCGGCGCCTCATCATTAATGAAGACCTCAACAGTGGGACGCAGATACCCTTCATTAACCGCGCCAAAGAGGTGGGTCTTATTTTGTCGTCTTAATTTTTTTATTAATTTTTTTTACCGAAGGGAAGTATTTAAGCATGATGCATACATAGTTACTCTCACTTTTTGTTGTAAAATAATTTATTGCATATGTGTTGTGTTGGGTGTGTGTTGGCTATATAGTTTATTTATCCAGATTATCTTGTTCTGAGATCAGATGTCAATCAAGTAAAAATGTGGCAAATTTAAGTTCCAATTCCAGCAAAATTTTAATAACATACATACATACTCTTTTTTTTAAATTAATATTTCAGAAATAAGTTATGCAATAAAAACAATAATATTCTGAAATATTATTAAAATTATTTTGAAATATTTTCTGTTTTGATAAATTATAAAATGTAATTTATTCCTGTGATAGCAAAGCTGAATTTTCAGCAGTCTTTAGTATCACATGATCCTTCAGAAATCATTCAAATATACTGATTTGATGCTGTTTATTATCAATTATTGGTGCCCATTTATTAGTAATGTTTTTTATTGTCAATGTTGAAAACAGTTAAAGGGTTAGTTCACCCAAAAATGAAAATTAGCCCATTAACTACTTGCCCTCAAGTCATCCTAGGTGTATAGGACTTTCTTCTTTCAGACTAATCCAGTCGGAGTTATATTGTCTTTGATCTTTCAAGCTGTTAAATGCCACTCAGCGGGTGTTGCATGCATCAGTCCAAAAGAAGTTAAATAAAAAGCGCACATCCATTAAAAAAAGTGTCTCACACGGCTCCGGGGGGTGAACAAAGACCTCCTGTAGCGAATCGATGCATTTATGAAGAAATAAAAAATATCCATATTCAAATATCCAAAAAATAAGAAAAATATCCATATTCAAAACAAGCACTTTAATGTAGCTTGCACCAACAGTTGTACACGGAAGCAGCTCCGGGAGCATGACGTATGAGGTCAGCGCTGCGCATGCGCCGGTGAGTCTCGTGAAAACCACCGTTTGTTAACAGGAGCAAAGGAAGCAAAGTTTCCTTACTTTAGCAAAGGAAAACCAGTCTCCTCTTGACTTATATCGAAATCATCCGACATTCTTCTTTACAAATCCTCGTTTTGTACTTCTAATAAGTGACCGGTGTTTTGTTTTGATCTCTCCGCTGCGCTTCCGCATTCGTCACTTCTGAGCGATGCATGCGCAAAGCCGACCTTCATATGTCATCCGCCCGGAGCTGCTTCCGTGTACAACTGTTGGTGCAAGCTACATTAAAGTGCTTGTTTTGAATATGGATATTTTTCTTATTTTTTGGATATTTGAATATGGATATTTTTTATTTCTTCATAAATGCATCGATTCGCTACAGGAGGCCTTTGTTCACCGCCCGGAGCCGTGTGAGACACTCTTTTTTTATGGATGGGTGCTTTTTATTTAACTTATTTTGGACTGATGCATGCAACACCCGCTGAGTGGCATTAAACAGCTTGAAAGATCGAAGACAATTTTTAATATAACTCCGACTGGATTCGTCTGAAAGAACAAAGTCATATGCACTTAGGATGACTTGAGGGTGAGTAATTTATGGGCTAATTTTCATTTTTGGGTGAACTAACCCTTTAATGATGTAAAAAATTCCGCTTTGCCATCACAGGAATAAATTACACTTTAAAATGGAATAAAATGTAAAAAATATTGTAAATTGTAATAATACTTCACAATGTTACTTACTGTTCTTACTTGTGGTGGGACAAAATATCGATAAAATATCGATTTTAATTAATACAATAAGGCACTCTAAATAGTTTTCCCTGCTCCCAGCATCTAAAAAAATGTGGACGTGTCATTTTCGACTTCTTTCCAAACTCCTTGTGCAAACAAAAATCTCACTGGATTATTACAATTAATGGGAAAATTAATGTTTGGAAATGTACATTTATATTTCCTACTGACACACTACTTCAAAAGTTAGAAATAACTGACTTGAAACCATTTTTAGCTGGTGAAAATACTAGTGTTCTAATCATTTTGGCCATCACTGTATATAAAAAAGTTGATAAGCAGTTAAATGTGTTGGTTTACACAAAGAAAAGTGTGAGCTTTTAATAAGTCCAGGAATAAAATTATTAATTTACTTAAGTTAAATTTGATTTACATAACTTTTTACAGTGCTGTTTTCTAACAGTTTAGACTGAATAAAAAGAGAAAAGTTGCACTTAACCTTTTCACAGGCATTTTGTTTTCATAGTTAGCCATTTATTGTAATGTATCATTATAGAATTGTCTAGCAATATTTCAATTACTGCAAAAATCACTGTATCATGATATTATCATATCGTGAGCCATGTATTGTGATTCGTATCGTGAGGTGCCCTGCAATTCCCACCCCTAGTTCTTACTCTATCTTCAATCAAATAAATGCAGCGTTGTTGAGCATAAGAGACTTAAATGATCTTAATTATTCAAAACTTTTGACCAGTAGTGCATATTTTTATGTTTGTATTATGAATTTAAAACATAATGAAGTTTTTTTTGTTTGTGTATTTTATACACATTAAAAATACTTGTTTCTATATTATTCTAGTTTATATTATTAAAAATGAATGTGGTTTGGTGTGTAAAGATATTGGCAGGGTGTGTAAATATCTGAACTTCTGGTCTGACTGGGCCAGTAGATTTTAACATTACTGAAAGTGTTATCACATGCTTGTAGTCTGAGCAACTGCTGTATCTATCTCTATTTTCTCCTCTGTATCCCTCTTTACTCTCTCCAATCCATAGATATTTATTTACCCAACAAAAGGAGCTATTTTGCTGTTACGTGTGTACTGTAAACTGTAATTTCGATTTTCATTTCTTTTCTCTGTCGGAGGACGTATCCCCGAGTGGAGTTATTTCTGTCCATTGCGGCTAGTCGTTTGTCACGCCGCCCGCCGCTACCTGTGTAATTTCATCGGCCCATGCGTTCAAATTGACTTAAGGGAGATCTCCCTCGCTCTTCCATCTAAATGTCATAAAACACACACACACTGCCACACTGATGTCTGCAGGCAAAGTCACTTTTCGTACAGTGCCGGGAAAAGACGTTCAGGGAAGGCGAGTTTGCTTGTAGGTGTGTGTGAGTGGCTTATTGCATTTGCGAAGAGGTGCGTTCTGGGGGCGTACTGTGACGGGTTAGACGGAAAGAATGCATGTTGTGCTCTGCCGACCATTTATCATGCTAAATAATGACCCCAGCTTTGCAGTGACATCATCATAATAGCATTTACAGGAAGAGAGATTCCAGAGTTTGTTGCGTGTATATCAGTATGACAGAGAGAATGTGGCTGTCACTTTGCAATATCTGAATTGCTGAAGGTGTGCGGATGCGCTGTCTGATTCTTCAAGTGACGGCTCCGGGTTTGTGATTTCCTCTGTGATAAACAAGGCCACCTGAGGCCATGTGCCGAATACGCTCTGATCCGAGATCAGTTTGTTCTTTTAGCCTGTGAGATGTGTTATTCTGATGGGAATTGGTTATGTGCTTACAAACAGATTTCATTGCTCCCTGATCTGTCCTGTGAAGCTTTATTAAAGATTATTGTATAGAAATAAGAAGGTTGATTCTGAGTTGCTCACAGTTTTGATGTGGGCACTTTAGTGGGCAGTCGTGGCCTAATGGATAGAGAGTTGGACTTGAAACCCGAAGGTCACGGGTTCGAGTCTCAGGTCCAGCAGGGATTGTTGGTGGGGGGAGTAAATAACCAGCGCTCTCACCTTCAATACCACGACTGAGGTAAGACCCTTGAGCAAGGCACCGAACCCCCAACTGCTCCCTGGGCGCCGCAGCATTGGCTGCCCACTGTTCCAGGTGTGTGTTCACAGTGTGTGTGCGTGTTTGTTCACTACTCACTGCTGTGTGTGTGTGCACTTGGATGGGTGAAATGCAAAGCGCAAATTCCAAGTATGGGAAACCACACGTCATTTCATTGTCTTTATTAGCACATTGTCAGAGACAACTCAAACAATTAAAGTTTTTGAAGCCAGATCAGAATGGTTTTGAAATCAGAAAATAAGAGAGAGAAAACTGTAATCAAGCACTCTTCAAAGTTTAGTTCAAAATCAAGTAGCAAATATATACACAAGTCCAAAATTTTTGAACTGTAAGATTTCTAATGTTTTTGAAGAATTATCTTCTGCTCACCAAGCCTGCATTTATTTGATCCAAAATACAGCAAAAGCATGCACACTGTGAAATTTTTTAACTTTTAAAAATATCAATTTTCTTTAAAATATTTTTTTAAATATAATTTATTCCTGTTATCACAGCTACATTTTTAGCATCTTTACTCCAGTCTTCAGTGTCACATGATCCTTCAGAAATTATTCTAATATGCTGATTTGCTGTTCAAGAAACAATTATTAATATTTATTATTATTATTATATTGTTATGATCAATATTTAAAACAGTTGAGTAAATTTTTTTCAGGATTCTTTGATGAATAGAAAGATCCAAAGATCAGCATTTATCTGAATTTTTTTTTTTTGGGGGGGGGGGGGGTTTGAACTGTAAGATTTCTAATGTTTTTGAAGAATTATCTTCTGCTCACCAAGCCTGCATTTATTTGATCCAAAATACAGCAAAAGCATGCACACTGTGAAATTTTTTAACTTTTAAAAATATCAATTTTCTTTAAAATATTTTTTTAAATATAATTTATTCCTGTTATCACAGCTACATTTTTAGCATCTTTACTCCAGTCTTCAGTGTCACATGATCCTTCAGAAATTATTCTAATATGCTGATTTGCTGTTCAAGAAACAATTATTAATATTTATTATTATTATTATATTGTTATGATCAATATTTAAAACAGTTGAGTAAATTTTTTTCAGGATTCTTTGAATTGATCAAAAGTGATGATAAAGACATAAATCCTGTTCTTCTGAATGTTCTATTAATAAAAGAAACCTGAACATAATAATAATACTAAATGCTTTTTTGAGCAGCAAATCAGAATATTAAGGATCAGGGAATGAGTAATGATGCTAAAAGTTCAG